AACTACCTACCTGTGTCGCTGCTTCTGCTACTCTTCCCAACCTGCCCTCGTGCGACGTACAGTCAAAACAAAAATCGAATCAAAATGGTCGTTCAAGGTGACATGACTGCCTTGTGGTACAACAAGGTGAGTTGCAAAGAATCTTTCCGAAGGGCGGGCGGACCAGATCTCAGAGCTTACACAACCATCTGCCATTAGGAAAGAGACTTTGAAATCAAAAAGGTCCCCGTTCCGGAAATCAGCGATGATGAGATCTTGCTCAAGGGTGAGGAAGAACATTAGGTCTTTCAAGAGGTTGCTAGGATCGCTCATCAAGGGATCATAGTTGACATCTGTGGTGTCTGTGGTACCGATGTGAGTAGACTCAGGAATCAATCGGTACAAGGCGCTGACTACTATTTCAGGCTCACATTCACGAGGTAAGCAGACCAGACAAAGCACAGATCATCAATGCTTAATTCGACGTAGGGAGAATTCATTGCCAAGTTTCCTGTAAGTGGAACGTCCTGTTCAATCCCAGGGCTCCCGCTCACGCCGAGCAGCTGATCCCGGGACACGAAGCCGTGGGACACATTGTCGACATGGGCAAGAACGTCAAGGGTTTCTCTCTTGGTGACCGAATTGTGGCCGATGTCGGTGGTGAGTCGAGGAGAGACTCTTGTAAGCTAGACACCGACTGATGATGCCTATTCGTTTCATCCAGAGACCTGCCGATCATGTCATTACTGCATGCGAGGTGAAGAGTTGTTCTGTGAACACTTTACACCTGCTGGAGTTGCTCGACCTGGTGGATTTGCCGATTACATCAAATAGTGAGATCGTCGGCATGGATCCGCGTTTGGGACAGACCGGCTGATCGCATTCAGCGATAAATCCAAGTGCTTCAAGATCCACAACTTGACAGACGAGCAAGCTTGTCTCATTGAGCCCGCTTCTTGTGCCGTTCACGGAATGGACAAGATCAAGATGAAGTTCGGCGCCAAGGTCTTGCTCATTGGTGCCGGACCTACCGGATTGATCCTTGCCCAGTTGATGAAGGTGAGCAAATCATTCTTTCCGACTCGTTGACGCGATCCCTACAGCTTGGAGGAGCCAGTCACGTCACCCTCGCTGCTAACAAGGGTATCAAGATGGACATTGCCAAGAAGATTGACGCTGCCGACGAGTATATCGAGTTGGACCGACAAAACGCCGACGCTCAATGGGCACAACTGAAAAAGGACAACCCATGTGAGGCGACCCGAGGAGCGCCACCCTTCCACATGCTGATACGTCCTTCCAGACGGGTACGACGTCGTCGCTGAATGCACCGGTGTCGAGAAGATTGCCAACGACTCGATCAACTATGTCTCCCGAGGTGGAACTTTGTTGATCTACGGTGTCTATTCTGACAATGCTTTGGTCCACTGGTCCCCTTCAAAAATTTTCCTTGACGAAATCAAGTG